CCCCAAAACCCCAAAACCCCAAAACCCCAGCATACTCAATTTAAATTAATAGCTATTATAAACAAGAAATTATATATTTATAAAAATGATGTTAATAAAAAATTTGTATGCCACAACTCTGAAAGCATCATCCTTCTCACTTTCAACTCTCACTAGACCTACAATGCTTTTGAGCCAGCAAGCAATGCCTATGACCCAAGTATCTTAGCGCTTTTTCTTCACTTAGAAGCAGTAAATGGATACTCTACAGAAGTAGTAGACTTAAAGTAAGTGCTATAATATATTTTCATCCATAAAATTGAGATGAGACATTTTATGCAAATTCAAGCAAATGCTTAATCATATTTTAAAAACAGATGATAATAAGACATTATTTAGGTATGGCATAAAGCATGCTGTTGCTGCAAAATCAGTCAATGAGAAACTTCGGTGCTCTTTAGAAATTAATGTACAAGACTGACAATAATGCCAAGTCAGGCAGATATCAAAAGGGTCTGTTTCACAGAAAGACTCACGGACGTCGCTTCCAAAGATGTTTCTCAATGAAGAAGTCTATCGTGACCATGAAACCTAACATCAAGAGGAAGAATTTATACTCTGAGGCTTTGAATAAGCACTTTAGAATGGAGATCTCGATGAAAGCTAGAAAGTGTATTATAAAGGCTGGTTCACTTGATAAGTACCTTACCTCAACATCAACTAAGAATATTGACTCCAAGTTTGGTCTATACTTGAGAGAATTAGTCATTAAGAAGTAGAAGAATCCCGATTTCGAGGTGCCATACATTCCAGGCACAGCTAAATTACCTAAAACTAAAAAGACTTCAGCTTGGGAATACAGACAGATTCCTGCTATCTATATGCCAGTGAAAGCTAGATTATCAGATGATATGTCAAAGTACTACGCCAAGACTCCTTAAGAGATGTCTCGTTACGAGATATCACAACTCGAGCAAATGCTTAAGGAATTGGACGAGCCAGAGAAATTCTTCCCTGATGAATATGTGTTTGCAAGTTAGGAGTACGCTGACTTAAAGGAGGAAATGATGAAGTTACAGCCCATCAGACATGGTGTCTTCAAGAGATACCTTGAACAGTACAAATACCAGAAGAAGAAGAGAGAGACTCTGCTCAGAGCAATGGAGGAGTCTGAGGAAGTGGTCAAAGATGTACTTCGTGATGATTACGTGCACTTCTTAGATGCTGTACCAGAAATCAGAAAATTCCTTGGAGAGGTTGAAGCCTTAGAAGCAGCTGGAGAGTAGAGAAAGCTTGAAGAAAAGAAATTGGAGGAAGAGAGAGAAGCAGATGAGAGCATTATTAAGCACAAAAAGTTCATTAACATTAAGAAATTGACCAAGAAGCAGTAAAAGGATTTAGCAAAGAGCAAGTCCACTAACAGAAGAATCTTGGACGAAGAAATCCCAGAGGAGTAGTAGAAAGAAGAGGAAAAGGAGAACGAAAAAGACAGTGAAGAGGAAGAAGAAGAAGAAGAGGAGAAGAAAGAACTCAAGAAAAAGAAGGACTCCGTTCATAAGGCTTAGACAATTAAGGAAGTTCCATTTAACCCTCTTACTTTCAATCCATTCGACCCCGAAAACATTAAGAAAGATGATGCCATAAAGAGAAGATTGCTACAGCCAAAGAGAGTTTATAAAGAGGTTGATCTTGAGGAGTTAGAGAAATTAAATAACAGTACTCCTTCTTCTCCTTTATCCGCAAAGAAGGAGGCAGCGAATGCTAAGCTTGACGGACAAGAATCATTAATCCCAGGTAAAAGAGTGTCTAAGCAGACTAAGGGTTCAAAGAAATAGAAAAGCAACTCTAAAAAGACTAAAGCTAAAGAAGGCGGTAGAGATGATGAATGAAAGAGTGAGAGGGATTCTCAGGAATCTACTTCGTCGTGATTAATAACTTTAAGATTTCAGATTATTGATAGGCATCGACGATCAAGTGATAATGTTTAGAAGCAATTAACACAACCTTTACTTATTTAAACTTCAATTTCACTCTTTACACTATGATTTACAAATACTTTTAGATGAATTCTATTGATGGGGTTTTGGGGTTTTGGGGTTTTGGGG